GATGGCAACTGTGTTCAAGGATGCAAAAACCATGTAGATTGTGTAATTTATTCAGCAAGCTCAGAAACTTACCGTATCAGATTGTGTGAAACACTGAAACACCAGAAAAAGAAACAGTTTATCGAAAGACACCAAGACGCTGTTGCTCTCGATGTTGTCTTCAATGGCTTGGAACCTCATTCTTCGAAGTGTATAATTGCAAACGTGCACATATATGACAAATACATCCATTTCGATTGTAACTACGCCAGAAATGTTACAGTATAACTTGTAAATAATGTAGGGAATTTATTTATCTTGTATTACATATTTGTTAGATAAATGATTGTGGCTTCTTTATAGGGCACAAAATCGTAGGCTGATGATTTGTGAATGCTAGAGTAAGACATGATTTCATGGGAAATACGTGTAGATAGTCACGCCAAAATGTGCGTCTTGATAACAATTTTTCTGCAATCTAGCAAACTTCATGTATACTGTTTTTTTCTTTAAAAAATCCTTTCAAAAATTTTGAAAACTACCAGCGTCTCTCGTTCATGGTTGTGAAGTCAGAACAACGTCAACAAACCTACTCTGATAAAGTTCCAACGGATGAAACGCGCCACAAATAACTTTTTTTTCCATTCTGTCTTACAGTTTTCTCAATACTGTTATATATATATATATATATATATATATATATATATATATATATATATATATATATATATATATATATATATATATATATATATATATATATATATATATATATCGTTATATATATATATATATATATATATATATATATATATATATATATATATATAAACTTTTTTCATAAAGGGCCGTGGAGATGTACCTGTCTCGTTACTTTTTTGTGTGTATATCTATCTAAATATGTCTGGGTGCTTATGTATTATAATCTGATTGTGTTTGTGCTGTTTTGCGCGTGAGTTTAAGACCCCATTCACACACTTGGGATTAAAATGTATATACATGTATTGTCGGATGACCGGATATTGTAGCGTCTGTTCTAACGTAATTTCAACGAAGAAATAAATTGAATAACATATGTATTTCTTCTTTTCTCCTCAGTAATTTTATAGTTTTTAAACTTAATAGTAATTAAATTTGGATTTTAAAATTGGCAGTTTTTAATTTTAATATCAAATTTTATCATATAATTTAATAATTATTGGTTAGAATAATTTTTTTGTTAATATTACCCGTATTTTAAAGATCTGAATAGCTATTATGAGATGATTTCGTTGTCAAGCTTTTAAATCCTTCTATACTTGGGTTTTGATTTGTCATTCTAGCTTTTGTAACAACGTTTTCCCCTTACGAAGGATCGTTAATTAATTTGAACTTTTAAAACCATTTATTTACATTCAACAACATCACTTGATAAGACACCGAGGGTGTTGAAACAAGATGGCTATGTTTGTAGTGATTTTATAACATATTTATGCTATAATTTTTTTTAAATAATTATATCTACTCTACTTTGTAGTTAGCACTCTTTTAAGAATAGTAATTGTTGTTTATTGGAATTCATTCCGTATACACCAATTATATACTTGTATATATATATATATATATATATATATATATATATATATATATATATATATCAATGTAAATATACCCAAAAATCAAAACAATCATGCAATTTAACAGGAACAAATAATTCCTTTTTGAAATTTACTACTCGTTTGCCCAGTACAATTGATTAAAAAATCAGAACAGAAAAAGAAAGCAATGAAATACTTTAGTTCAGACAAACACCAAAGAAAATGCACGTAGTGATTAGCGTTTGATTTAGAAGAATGTTATTTCTTTAATTACTTTGTAATCTAATCTCGCTTAATTTTATAGTCTTGTTATCAAATGAGTATTCGCTATTGTTTGAACGGTTAATATGTAGTCAACCCGCCCCCTATTCGCGGTATCAATTCTGGGTTGTAAATTACGATGACGTGTAAGTTTTTTCTTCTCTGACGGTGTCTGTTCTTGTCAATTTCCCCAGCAGCAACAACAACGTCGACAACACCAACACCGAACTTAATGTCAAACAATAAGTGTAAAAGAAAAACAAATAAAATACACAAAACGTGCTTAAATAATACTTTTGTGAATGCATTGATATTTATTTCTTGTAAGGAGATCTCCCAAGAGCCCACTCCCTTTGAGCGTGTTTTGTCCACAGGAAATTTTAATTTCGTTTTCTTTTCTTCGAGAAGAATGTTGATAATATCTTTTTGGTATATTTACTTATATAGTTTTTCTTCTAAATTAATACGTGTTTTATTTATCTATTTATTTATCTATCCTTATTCCGACTTCCTTTTCTATCCGTTTTTTTTTATCCATACCATTTCGAGAACAGCCTTTAAATTTATTTATCATTTTTACGTTTTTTTCTTTTAAAACATACGTCACCATTTCTTTCACAATGTCGAATACTATTAATATTATCGCTGTTATTACTTCTATATATCTGTCTTTTCAGTGTTAAAAAGGAAGAATTTTACTGTCAATTTCAAAAGTATGCAAGCGCAGTATATGTAAAAATTTGGCAGAAGATATTCTTCCTGTTTAGCATTTCCAGGATATCATCTTCTGGCTAAATAACTAAGTATTGCAATTTTCAATGGTTTTTTTTTTTTTTTTTTTTTACTGCTGTCTACAATTTTATTTTATAATATTCTTTTTAAATAGTTTATAAAAAAATTAAAAAAATCTTCAGAAAATAAATTTATTGCTTACTTTTATAATTATTCGTATTACCACAAAGGCTCCTTTGTGTTACTATTTCATTCTAAGATTTCAGCTTGCCTTTCTTTTCCTTCTTCATCATTATCACAGAAGTGGAATTACTGATGTCCTTATGTGCCATATTTTTTAGATTTCCATTTCAAGATTCTTGATTCTTGAAGATCTTCAAAGATACATGAAAATCTGCTGGGAATGCCATGTCAATAACAAAACTTTTTTTTTTTTTGTCTCTAATTACGATGTCTTGGTGATTAGTTTTGATTGTTCTCTCTGTGTGTATTGTGAAGACTATAAAATTGTTATAGGTCCTATCTCCGTCACTGAGTAAGAGTGATTTTCCTTCAAGTAAAAGCGGCATATTTTTCAGTGCAGATTTTGGTCCACTGTAACATGCAATTGACCCACTCTATAATAATAATAATTATTATTATTGTTGTTGTTATTATCATTATTATTATTATTATTATTATTATTAGTTATTACTTTTATTATTAATATCATGCTATTATATTTATTAGAGATGTTATTGCTGTTTTGGTTACTGAAAGTCTATGGTGTTAGTGAATTCCTGACCACGTCTTATGGCGTATTTGTTTATTTGCACCAGATGCCTGCTGTGTCATTTTCTTATCGTTATTATTATTGAATATTCGCAGTCATAATTGCAGAAATGTCTCCTTGATAACAAATTAACAGCAATTCTCATCGCATAAACGCGGGGTTCTACCCAGGTCTCTATCCTTTGACCTACGCTGTTTCTTACCTTCATCAACAACCTTCTCGATATAACCAGATATCAACTAGATATTTATTCTAATGACACTAATAGCAAATCGGACAGGTTCGTCAAAGTACAACTGGTATCTGCTCCCCAAAAGAGCCTCCAATTAGTGGTCAATTGAGACAATGGATGATCCCTAAATTGGTAACGCCACCAAAACGCAAATACCTTCATTTAATTACCACAAATGACCTTTTCTGCCTTCTATCAATGTAGCTGATGCTATCATGTTGGCATAAAACAAAAATATTATATGCAGCCAGATTCTAGGTCTGTTGATAGGAAAGTTGGTTCACCGGTACGGCCAGGATTTTTTTTCACCTCAGAATCCATTTTGTGCATTTATAAACCTACCCTTCGTCCATACAATGAATGTTGCTGTCATATCTTGTTTGATGCTTCTGATATCTCGATATTACTCAGTTGTAACACAGCAGAACTACAGTACACAAATTAACCTGCTTATCGCAGAAATTTTCTGGCCTGAATCGTTAGATTTCTTTCGTAATTTCCTAGGACATTTAATCAGTATATATTTTGGGGAAGTTTACGGACAGAAACCAAAGTTCATATTTCACATTTTCATATATCCGTGTTTTGTGATAGCTTTCAATTTTAATATCAAATATAATTTATTTTCTACACTTCCGCATAGATTCTTAATTCCGCATTTGCTACAGACCTTCACGTTGAATTTCCAAGGAAATCCTATTTTATTTTAAAGATGAATTATGGGTAAAACAGGCCTTTTTTTTATTCGAACTACTCTTTGAAATCTTTGTTGTAGACAATGAAATCAGTTCGAATAAATTAATGTGTAATAATGTTTTGTAGGTCATCTCTAGATTTTCTGTTTGGCATTTCAATTTTGCATTCTTTTTTATATGATTGATGGTTTCTTAATGTTTATAGAGAGGAACAATTTTGTGGTTCTGTTTAGTGCTATCTTAATTTTGACAGAATTTGAACTGACACCATTGTTGGAGTTCGGGATTTATTTTCTCTGCTCCATTTTATCCAATAAATATTTTTGCAGTTAAAGTCTATGGTAAGCTTTTTTCCTTACCAATTTTGTATACTGTTTTAGAGATTTTTTAATCCACCATATATTCTCCAGTTTGTTCCGTTGTAAGTTCTGTCTGCTAGAATCATTCTTTCATTGCTGTTATTATCGATAGAACTAAATCTATTTCTTTTTATTTGATTCTAATGATGTCATCTCTTCAATACCAGATTTTTTGCAGGACCAACAATGTCTTCCATCTTGGATCTCAGTGTGTTGTATATATATATATTTGTGAGTTTAGGCTTCTCCGCTTACTTTCCTTTATATTCGTTTCTCTCATCTCATCTACCAACCAGGTGATGATATTTATTATTCGTCAGCCATTTTCCCAACAACTAACCATTAAATAACTGACGAAGTTCATTTTCCTTTTATTTTTTAAAACCTTTATAGTTTCTCATTCCCATGTTCCTCGCAGATGGTAATGCCTGTTTGTCTTCTGACACGGTATGATTTATTTTGACTATTATGTTTCCTTTCTGGGTGATATAGTCGATTATCTGAATTATTTCACCATTTTCCATTTCGCCATGTGTATTTGAGGTTATATGTCCTTCACCAAACTTATAAAGAGAAGACATTTTCAGTTTTTTCCTCCTTATTTGTAACATTTCAACTTCGGGAATGCAACCACTTTTCTAAATCTATTTTGCTAGATCTGCTTCGAGATTCGGGTAGAAAATATTGCATATAAAAATAATTCTACTAGTAATTATTATTATTGTTGTTGATGTTGCTGTCGTTTCCTGGTTGTGTTAGTGGTATTATTATGTATTTATTAGAATTTTTTTCTTTTTCGATTGATAGCAGTGATATGGCTTCTCTGATAATAACGAAGACGATGATGATCGCCGTCATCTCTTTCTGTTTAGCATATTACATTTTTAGATTTTTATGACTTTCTCAGCGTCATCCTAGCTGGCGTTACTGCTGCTGCTGCTGCTGCTGCTGCTGCTGCGTGTTTTGTTTTTTATGTCTCTTTTTCCCGTTTCCATCTCAGGCAATTGAGAAACTTGAATCTGACCAGAAAATTGAAATGTGTATTTTGTGCTCGTTTCCATAGAAATCAAGGGTTTAATCGCAAAAAAATATTCCCGCTTATTTTTTTCCTTATATTGCTTTTCGGGTTTCTTTCTATTTGTCATCACTTTTGTTACACTTATTTGTCTTTTTTTGTTGTTTAATGTTAGAAAATATTATTTTATTTCAGTCATTATTCATTTATTCTACCAAACAGTAATTCTCTTATTCATTCATTCTGTTATTCATTCATTCTGTTATTCATTCGTGAATACATTCCGGCTAGTTTCGGCTTCTGTCATTCAAATTCGATTCTTGGGGGGTTGTATTTTTGTTTTTATCTTTCTTTTTGATGTTCCTGTCTTTTCCCTTCAATTACCAATTATGATATGTTTTTTATATTTTTAATTCCTTTTTTATTTCTTTAGCGCATATGAAGTTTCTCTCTCCTTTTATACAATTTATTTAGCTTTATCTCCATCTTGATATCCATCTTTCTTTTAATATCGTGTCTTTTTCTTCCGCATTTTCGTCTCCAACATTCCGTTACCCATGTGTTCGTATTTCCTTCCTAATTCAGACAGGTTTTTCTTAAATTTATTTTTTCTCATTCTCTTGCCATATTTATTTTCACTGAAACCAATTAAATTCCTTTCTATTCCTCTTGTCTGTCTTTTACTCTAGAACTTACTTTAAACATTTAGTATTTTTAGTATTAATTCCGATATTTTTTACGCTCCTCTCAATCTATTAATTCACTATTCCTCCATTTTTAGCCAACAATACTTCTTCAATTTTCTCTTCTTTTTTCCTCTTCTTATTCTATTAATTAGTATTATTATTATTGTTATTATTATTAGTAGTAGTAGATTTAGAGCTACATCTACTACTACTACTACTACTATTATAAATTATTTTTCTTTTCCCCAGTTCTTTTCCTTTCTCTTACATTTCGTCACACATTCTTAATTCTGTTTCAAATTATTTATACCCCCTCCCATTTCTTGCAGTAATTTTCTCCGCATTTCTTTCCACTATTTATCTCTTCCCATCATACTTGCCAAACCTCAACTCACATTTTCTAATTTTATTCAAAATTTCCTTTTCTGTTTTCTTCAGATTCTATATCCTTTTAACACGGCGTCTACAAACCGGATCTCTATTCTTCCACTTTTCTTTTCGTTCTCTTTTTTTATTCTTTAAATTAAAGTCATTTCCGTTAGCGATAGCTTTACGGGATGTCAAAATATTTTTTTTTTAAATTAAAAACCAGTAAAATTGCAAACAGAACGCAAATATAAAATATTGTTTTTAAACAAAGCAGATTGTGAAAATATGTGGAACAAGCAGCACTGGTTCGTATGTACATATTTCTTATTGCATATGCCTGGTATTTGGCCATGTGATGCAGCCATGTGCAAATATTAATTTAGAATGGTACAAGGTCATATGTTTGGGTACGAGAGAGAGAGAGAGAGAGAGAGAGTGGGGGAGAAACTGATATGTATTAAATATTGATATGTAGAGTCGCTCTACATCGTCTAATGGTTAGCTAATAATATAGATACGTAATAGGCTAATGTGACAAAATGCCTTAATCATTGGCTAAGAAAGATCAACTACAGTACAAGCGCGCAGATTGTATTATTTTTTTTTATTAAAACGTTCATCTAATACAAATCCCGAGAGGCCCTCAAAATAGAGGAAATCTATTTAAATGGCTATGATGAGCGATGTGTGTGATATCAATGAAATAGTAGATGTTAGGAAATGAACATTATGAATATTAGTAGTTTTCGAATATCATTGTGAGTCATCGAGTCTTCTATATATTGAATTAAGTCGATCTTACACTGTGCCTTATTAGTGTGTTTCCAATTAAGAACTGGTATCATAGTACTGGCTAGTGTCTGAGTCACTAGTTCCGTAAACGCTGGCCAGCACTAAGATTACATTATCAGCGTAAATGAATAATCTACTAACTTTTATTGATCTGTTTTTGGAATAGTATCTCTCTCGTCTTATTGGAACATCTTTTCATCGAGATTCCTAGATATTCGGTACTCTGTCCTGATTAATTTTATGTTAATAAATCCGTTTAGAATACGGGACTATATCCGGAAATTAATTGTTAATTCATTTCTAGACTCCGCGCAATTATGTGAATGTGTTGTTGCAGAGTCTTGAAACATTCCATCTCGCGGGAATGTCAGGTTAGGTATGTATATAAGTACGTGTCTTCCCATTGTCTTGAATGTGAAATCCAAATTTCAGCTAAGTTGACTGTTTTATATCGACGTATCCACCGGCATAAATTGAGACCCGACTCTCCAATTGGTGGTTATAAAGAGAACTTCTCGGTCAATATTCAGTACAAATATTGGTCACTCAGTTATGTGCCATACGTGATACACGCTTAGGCGATCATGTATCTTTCGATACATGACTGATGAGGCAGATTATTTTTCCGCAGTCGGCGGCCATTTCTTTCTGTGGAAGACCAGTTGCTGTCCAAGGCTATAGAATCTGGTCTGTCCTGCTATTTACCCATGGCTGGATGGAGAAGAGGATTCATACCTTTCCAAAGGATATTAGCACGTAAGTGCCTGTAATGGATTCGACTGGAATTAGAACTCGTCTCTCCGAGCCGCTATCCATTTCTCTACCGTGCAAATATTGGTACTGAAACTTACGTGGATTGAATCACAGGCTACACAGAGAATAAATTCTGATGAGATCTGAATTGCAACATTTGGAACTCGATATTAGGTGTTAGCTCCTTACGGAATCGGCTAGGAAGGTCAAGCATCATTTAAGGCAGCACGATCTCTATAATTTACGTCACTGAACTCTAGAATCCAACGACTTCTTTCTTTATACTTTTCAACTATTATTGTTATATAGAATTTATATTTCAATTCTATTTATATTTCCTTGTTCAATCATTACCAGTTACGGATTCATTATGTCACTATTATTTAGCTTCTTTTATTATCTCGAACGATTGGGCTACTTGCTCCCCGCCCCAAACCACCGGGCGACTTTGTTAGGTGTTATTACCGACTATGATTGTTGGCAGTTTGAACTCACCTGGGTTGATAAAGGTTGATATATATATATATATATATATATATATATATATATATATATATATATATATATATATATACACTGCGTGCCAAATTTTTATCGAGATAATTTTTTTTCTAACGTTTCAAAAACCGCCCAATTAATTCAAACAAAAATTTTCACACAATGTTGGCAACACTGACCTGCGCAATCAGTGAAATTTTCGTATTGATCTGCGCAATATAAACACATTTGCGCCATATTTGTTATCAACCATGTGATCTGAGCGCGTCAAATTATTAGAAAGGTTTAGTGAAATTCCCAGAATTAAGCAAACAAAACGTTTATTAATGTTGCACGTGAATGTTTATGATCAAAAGAAGCTAATAAATAAGATAATCAAACAAATATTAATAGATACAACAAACGCACAGTTTTAAAAAAATTCATAGGGAATGTACATTCCCTGTTTTGAAATTACTTGAATAAGTCGACGATCCATAGAATTTGTTCATTGTAGGAAGTCATCTGCTGTAATGCCGCGAGATATGTCAAGAATTGCTTCCCATGTTTGATCATGAGCCGTTCTAGGCTACGTATAATGGCATAAGATTCGGGGGAAAATAAAGAAAAACTGTCCAAAATTTGGATATTTTTTATTATGTTGTTCTTCGATCTAAGTTTTCAGATCACATGAGACATCATCACGATACGCAACTTAGAAGGGCTTGTGATCAAACATAATAGATATTCATTGTTTATTATACTTAACAATATATATTTGAATAATAATCTGTGTCCGCCATTAAATGAATATATATATATATATATATATATATATATATATATATATATATATATATATATATATATGATACATCTCAGTATCTGAGTATTAGACAATATTATATATAGATACATATATATAATATTGTCTAATACTGAGATACTTAGATATATATATATATATATATATATATATATATATATATATATATATATATATATATATATATATATATATGGAGTGTGTGTATATATATATATGATACATCTCACTATACGACAATATTATATATATATGTACATATGTGTGTACATGTGTATTTGTATTCTTGTATCTGGACATACAAAGATTGTTAGCAAGACCTCGTCCCATCTACATTTGATGATTGGCTGCCGACTTAATCTTTAACATCTCTGAACACTGATATGTCCTTAGTTCAATGACTCACCATGCCACATACACCGAGTTAAATCATTATCACTCTCTTCGTAACAAGGAAGTTCCACTTAGATTCTTCGCAAGAATTATTAATTCATGGAACAGACTCCTCAGAAGATGCTTTCTTTTTAAATTCAATGTTAGCATCCTCAAATGTAAGAACCAACGTTATCTGTATTACTCACACCCTTTATCGGCAATTAGTCCCTCTTCCTAGTCTATTTCGCGTCTGCATTCACTAAAACTCCACCTTCACAGTGTTTAGGGCCTTGTGTTGATTGAACATTTATTTAAAATCATCAACCCAAATATAAACTGAGAATTCGCTGCAGATCGAAAGGTAACACTAGACGTCATTGTTTACGTGTTGCTAGTCATAGAGAAAAATATGACCATTACTGATGTTAAATAATTATGAAAAGAATGAGACTATAGAATGTTGAGTGAAGTATTTTATTCACTGTTGCTGTTTTTAATTAATGGGTTAAATGCTGCACCATGATTTATTTCAAATTTCCTGAGACTCATTTTTCAAAAGCAGTTGGTAGTGTGACATCACACTATGTCAAATGGTGCGATTCAATGTCAGGAAATATTCACCGTCTATCCAGCCACATTTATGAATCACGAAATCCGAGATTGTTATCAAGTAAAGAAGATATTTAATCATGCTTAGTTTGTAAAATTAAAATCAAAACCGCCTAGATATTCTCCTAATCTCGGGAAATTAGTCGTCCACATCAATCAATGGAACATTGGTGATTGGAAAAAGATGAATCATGGTTAGCGGCGGAACAATTCCTCAAATTTCCGATTAACTTTTCGTTAAATAAATTCCTATTTCCTCTTGCAAAGGAACGGAAATGGAAGCCTTACGATCCATAAAGATTGAAAAGTAAATGACATATCCGACAAATAAACTTCTTTCTCTTTGATGAGTCATTCGTGTTGGGGGAGGGTAGTGAAATGAAAGAGACGAAAATTCAGCTGGTATTTACAATTTAATCGCTTAAATAAATACATAAATAAAAGCGTGTGTAAGCGTTTGTATGTATGCATGTGTGTTTAGGGGTGAGTGAGTGAGGGAGAGGGAGACGATCCTGAAAATTCCTCAGGTTGGCTATGAAAGATCTAGAAAAAAATTATGATGATTAATCATTTGGTCAGATTTTGGAAATTGGCTTTGCCCAAGAATATTTCATATTTCTGAGTCCTCACTGACTATGCACAAAAGATACGCATAACCACACACATATAACCATACATACATGCACAAATGCAAAAAACAGGAAAAACACTCAAACACAGATACATACAACACGAACCCCCCCCCCCATATATATATATATTACTATAATTATTATTTATTTAAACGGCACTTTTATGGATACCTATATATATATATATATATATATATATATATATATATATACAATTCCATGAAAATAATTAACTTTACTCAAATATAGTCCTTCTAAAGGGCGAAACGCGTTAGACAAAATATTTACCACCATATTTATTTGCCTTATACACAAATACACACACCCGCATATATATATATGTATATATATATATATATATTATATATATATATATATGCACACCTATATATACATATGCATGCATATTATTATAGAAAATAAATTCCATACAAATAAATAGTAATGGATTAAAATACATTTATATACATTGAATTACAAAGATATATGATGTGCAGAAATAATCATAATCATATATATATATATATATATATATATATATATATATATATATATGTTGTATTTCTGAAGTCTTCAGTTCCAAAGAGATTTGTTGCAGATATAGTGCATAGATGTTAACACTGCATCATATTTGTCTTTTATGCCTCCACATATATTCACACTATATGCCAGTTGATGTATAAGGGATATTAAGAATGTACTAA